GGATGGTTTGAACATAATAATCGTCAGGGAGTTGGCTATGTTCCTGGAGTCAAGTTCCTTTCAGCAGAAAACCTGGGTAGGATGCACATATTCGTTTTCCTTTTTCTAGTTTTTGCCTTTTTGGGCAAACACCTGCCTCCGTCATCTAGGTTGCTCATTGGTGGCCTCATCTAGTTTTCAACTCTGGGTAGTCCTGCACCTTGACTTCCAAGCACTGCTAAGATACATGTTCTTGACCAATTTGTCCATCAACACCACAGGAGAGGAAGGCCATTCCTCTTTAAATTCAGGTGATTAAATTTGTATAACAACCTGGTAATTATGAACTGTTTTATACAGAAGTGCTAATATTTAAGCTCCACAATACAGAAGTCCCCCTCTATTGCCTTAAAAAAAAAAAAAAAACCTCTTTTTTTCTCACAATATTAATGTTAGAGGTGAGCCTATGGTAAAAATAAATAAATAAATAAAAGTAATGTCTTAGGGAAGGTTAGAATGAATGACATCAGGCAGCAGTGGACGTTCAGGAGAAACCTTTTTTTTTCTCTCAACGGTCTTGGCTGATTTTTCATGAATGAATGCACAAAACCAAAGTGAAACAAGAACGTCACACCAAACATTTCACCACCCAAACTGAAATACTGTATATTTATTGAAATGTATTTGTTTATTGACTCCTACATCTCATCCTCTAAGTTTCGATGTTCTAATTATAGTTCATATTTTGACGAAGAACGGGTAGAAAACTTTATTGACAGATGCTTGGAGTGTCATTGTCTGGCAGAAGCTGGACCAGCTGGAGAAGAGGAAGGAACAACAGGAGATGCAGCAGCAGTAACTAACATTCATCCAGCAGTCACCCTGTGTCAGCAACCAAGCTAAGTACTTCCTAAGCCCTGCCTACGTCAGTCCTCCTAACAACTGCCCGGTCAGTGCCATCATCCTCTCCTCTGTATCCATGAGGAAACTGAGGCCCAGAATGCTCAAAAAAACTATCCCCAGCTCTATGACCTGTGACCTATGCTGTCAAGCCTGAAAGAAGATGCTTGCTCATCCCAGACAGTGCACCACAGGAAATGACAGCGTTCCCAGTGGGATAAAAAAAAAACCCAAAAACGCTCCTATCCAAAGGTTCAGAATAGAGCTCTGCTGGTTAGAGTGAACATTGCAGGCTGGGGGACATGGCTCCTCGGGGAACACTTCCTGCGCAAGCGGAAGGACATGAGCCTGACTGACCCCTAGGACTCCCGTTCATTAAGTTGGATGGGGTGGATCCCCGGGGCTCACTGGCCAGCCAGACTAGTCCAACCAGCCAGCCCAAGGCATCTGTGAGACAGCTTGGTTCAAAAAGCAGGGTGGACCACTTGTGAGGAAGCGACAGTGACCCCAAGCTTCCGTCCGCTCTGCACAGACACAGAGAAGGAATGAGCGAATGAATGCGTGCGATGGGAACACACAAGGGTTCTCCTCCTTCTGAGCTTTGGTGGGAAGATATTAGAGCTCTACCGTGGCCTGTATTATATGAATAACCACATATTCGCAGCCCTCTGTTATTCCAGTGAATAGGTAGTCCTCTACCAGTCTCTACAAATCTGGGGTGGAAGGACATTCTTGAACCAATCACGTTCCCTGCAGTGATAGGGCCCATGACGTAGGGGAGCACTTGTGAGGGTAGCCTACTCTGCAGGCTCCAGACAGGGGAAGGGGCACGTGGGGAGGCCGCAAGTCAGGGACACGTACACTCTCGGTAGTTATGCTTGCTTGCTCTCTTTTAATTAAGGAAACAAAACCAAAACCAACCAACCAAACAAACAAATAAACAAAAAAGACAATTCCCACTGCAAAGGTTGGACATGTATGAGACTAAGTATGTTGTCACGCTGTGATATATGTGTGTGTGTGTTTATTTATTTTTTTTTCTTTCAACTGATGGTCTGGGTGATTTCAGTCAGCCTCAGAGATGTCTGTACCTATGGCAAAGGTGACTGAGGAAGAGAACTGGGGCTTCTAGAAAAGGAGTCCATGCAGCAGAGCAAACAGAGAATTCCACTCAATCTGCTGGTTTCTGGACCCGCTTGTTTGGCTCCTGAGCAGAGGAGGAGCTTTCTCCCACAGACCATCTAACCATGGGGGAAGCTGCATCTTGGACCCAAGGAAGATGGGAGCCACGAAAGATGGAGAGGCGCAGCTGCTGCCTGGGGGCCACTGAACCAGGCCCTATAGAGATCGCAAGGGCCATGACAGAAATGCAATACTGCGTTTAGTAAGGACTGAAGGAAGACACCTGGTCGACTTCAAGACTGCTAGCCCTCTTCCCTCCTAGTTAGATGCAAGAGACTTGGCAGATGTCAGAGGGATCTGTGGGACCACAATCCAGAAATTAAAAAAAAAAAAAATGATGTCGCTCAGAGGCTGGTGGCTCCCAGTCAGGTTACATACGGATGAACAGATGTGGCAAGGCTGTTAAGTCAGTGTGGAAAGTCGGTTTATTTATGTTCTGTTGATGTTATTATTTGAAAACTCGGTTGTAATCAGAATTGCTTCTTACAGTGTACACCAAGCGCTCATTTTGCAAAAATGCTCATCTTTCCCAGCAACTCATGTGTAACCATGAGCCACAGAGGCTGCGGACGAAGTTTTCTTTCTCCTCACAGACACTGGCTGCCTCAAACACCCACTGGAGTTTTCATAAATAAAACATAGCCGAGCAACGGGGGGGGGGGGGGGGGGGGGGGGGGGTGGGGGGCAGTTCTCCCTCTAGTATGAAAGGAATTAGTGTAATCAGTAAGAAAGGGAGCTGTGTGTGAAGCCCCGGTCTGCAGCACAGGGCTTCCACCCCAGGAAGGCTGAAGATACCAGAGATGACAGAATCCTGGGGTGAGAAGGCAGGCCTGAGTCAGGAGAAGGCTGCCACATGGATTTAACCCTCAGACGTCAACGTGTCCCATTATGAGGCCTTCCATCAAACCCTGGACTCTGTAAATCATAATAAGAAAAAAATCCCAGAGGTGCCTACCTTCAACGATTAGATGAAAAAGTGAAAAAGCAGGAAACGGGCTATTAAAAAAATGTAAAGTCAATCAATCCGAGTTCTGCTGTATTAACAGACACCTGAGCTGGACAACTTAGAGGAAAGGTTTAGTCTGGCAATTGTGCAGATTGTAATTTGTGACTGGGTGGCCCTCTGCCTTCGGGTGAGGCAGCAGACTTAAGAGTCAATCCAATCCAAACCAGTCACCTCATAAACGGGAGGCAGATAATGACAGGGAGGAAGTGGGCAGGCCCTACAGGTCTAAGACCACCTACCTTTTAAAGGCCCACCTCCAAATAACTCCACTCTGGGGACCTGCTTTAATAGACGGACTTTGGGGGAACATTCAAGATTCAGGAGATAGCTGGGAATCAGAATGGGATGATTAGCTTAGTCTTCAGGTCAGCAATTTCTCAAGTTTCCCAGATCCTTAGACATTCCAGACTGAGAAGCAAGGTTAGTAATCCTGTGTGTTATGTTGGGTTTTGGGGATTGTAAACACATAGACAGACACAAAGACACACACGCCTCTGCTTAGCTGGGTCTGCCAATTTGGTGTCAGAGACTTCCAGAAATCCCTAGAGCCCCAGAGCACATCTACGAAGCCTGAGGATACCAGACACAACAGGCCACTGGGGAGCCATTTCGGTTATTTTAACTGAATTGATAATTAATATAGGATATCCACTGTGCCCACTGGCTTAAGATACCAAACTAAAGTTCTGAAACGAAACCGGAACCCACCCAAGCTATGGTAACACTGGTGTTGGGATCCCTCTTTATTTCATAGGAAGCCTGCTTAGTATTACAGCCACTGTAGTGTTTATAGGTAGGTAGTGGTAGTGTGAGCTTGTATACTTTTTAGCTTGGGATTCGTTTCTGAAACCTATTCTTTAAGACACCAGAACAGAAACTCTAAGAAGTTTATATTATGTCTGCTACTCATTCCCTCTTTGATACTCATACTTTATATAGTATGGGTTTCTCCTCCAGCAACCCTGAATTAATACATCAGATGGTACCAGGAATTTAAAAGTTCTATCTCAGTGATATATTCAGAGATAAGGAAAGGGGGCATCACCTGGCTGTGGAAAACCTCCACAAACACCAGGTCCTTTGGTTTTTTTTTTTTTTTTAAGATTTATTTATTATGTATACAGTGTTCTGCCTGCATGCCAGAAGAGGGCACCAGATCTCATTACAGATGGTTGTGAGCAACCATGTGGTTGCTGGGAATTGAACTCAGGACCTCTGGAAGAACAGCCAGTGCTCTTAACCTCTGAGCCATCTCTCCAGGCCCCAAGGTCCTTTGGTTTTAAACATAAATGCCTCACAGCAAGGCTCCAAAGAGCCGTGAAGAACGACATGAACCACTGAACCTCAAACCACGCAGTGGCTTGACCACTGGATCTCCCAGGTCAGAGCATCTTAGGGTCAAAGAGCGGCTGATCTGGACAGCCCCACCGATAGTTGGCATGTGAGTGACATTCTGAGGTGTGACTGAGGACACACCACCCACTCTAAACATTTTCTCCATGTATCTTGCCCTCAAACATTTTGCCTCAGGACATGACTGAGTTCAGCGCAGAGTACTAGAGTTTTTATTCATTTACATTCGACTTCTTTTCAAATGAATGAATGGCTATAGCAAAACTGAAGTGTTTAGGGGGATTATAGCTTCATTCTCACCTCCACCAAGGTGGTTCTGGGAGCCCATTTCCTCCTCTGTCTCATTAAGACTATATGAAGACCCAAGAGGCATGGGATCCACGCCATCTGTAGGATGTAACCACGAAAGGCCTTCCGGCTGTCGGGGAACACCTGGGCAGTTTCCGTCCTTCTGGTACCCTATCAGCACATGGATATAGGAACGACTTTCCAACAAATTCTGGTTAGCCTACAGTGTCTTAGATGTCCTCTTTGAACTGCTTCAGGCCAGAGATTAAAAAACAAAACGAAACACTCGACACAGTTTTAAATCAAAAGTTATGATGACTTTATTTTAAATCTTAATACACCAAAAATATTTTTTAAATGTTGTGAAATAAGCACTTGAAAATAAGAATTCCAACACTGCTGTGATTTGCTGTGAGGCTTGATAGTGAGTTTCCCTCTGAATATGGGTTTAGGGCCTAGGAAGCAGAAAGCCAGTCATTTTCAGGGTAGCAGTGAGCAAAGTCCAGCCCGATCATACTCAGACCCATACGTAACTGAAACACCACATCCACGCCAGTAGGAGGCACTGTCGGGCTACATCTTGATCTCTGTCACCAAGAGAAAAAAAACTCAAGTGCCAAGTGTTGGGAAAATGCTGTTTAGAAGCCAGTGAGAGTCAGGCCTACTCCGATGTGTCCCAACTGGGCTGTAAATATGGTTTCCTCTTGATCTGAGGGACCAACCAACAAGTTACTGCAGAACTTGACTACAATGCAATTATTTTGTGTGTAGGTGAGGATACCTAGTGAGGCGTGGACACAGAAACATCTGAATTTGGCTGTTTGACCTGCAATCAAAGCAGTTTCCAAGACTCCCCCAAACACCCAGATGGCCCCCTCTGCATCCATCCCAACAACTTTAGGAAATGTTGGCAGGAAAAATGGAAGCCTGGGTATCTAGCAATCTTTCTGAGAACCCTGACTCTTCCAAGGATCTGAGGATGAGGAAAGTACCGGGTTATAGGAGAGGCTTTCAGGGTGTTCTGTGATGCTCCAAGTGGGTGTATTTTAAATGGCCTTTCCAGCTGTGGCCTCACCTATGGCTCATACGTGTTTCTAAGTGCAGTCTGTCACAACAGGCACTGAGAATTCTGGACAAGCACCAGCATCTATTTTGTGTCACTATCAGGTACAGAGGACGTTGGCTCAATGGCCAACTAGGATGCAAAGCTTCGTATTGAGTGTCCAAACAGAACAGGGCATCCTTGCTTTATTAGATGTCACTTTAATGCACAGAAGTGACAGATCATATATTGTGAATTCTCACCCAAATCACTTTCTGATGGCAGAGAGCTCAGGCACCAGGAAATGGGGTGCTATACCTAAGACAGGGATGTAATAACATTAAGCTGTATAAGACAATGATTCACATGATCACAGGCTCGACAACTGTCCCAAACCGACAGCAAAATATTCATTATCAAAACAAAGACTGGAAAAAGACGCATTTGAAGGCTAAGCTCTGGACTACCATCATGGTATCTCACCCAACTGTTGCTCTCCAGGATCGACACCTTCGCAGGGAAATGTGCCTACACAAAGATCCTGCACATGCAACTCAAAGCTCAAATCTCTGGGATGGAGTCTAAAGTGGTCTTCTCCATTCTCCTAAGAACTCCCTCAACACTTGTGCAGTCCAGTAGTAGTCCAAAGACCATTCCATCTGCCTGGAAAAGGCTCTCAGCACGTGCTAGGGCCTACACTCATCTGTGTCTGGCAGTCTCAGGGTAAGAGATCCTTCTATCAGAACAAGATGCTAACCGGATATTCCCAGGTAACTGAGCAGTTTGGGAATATAGCCAGACTTCTGGAACATTCCACGCCAGTGTAATAGTGCTTTTCACTCTAATATAACAGGATTTATCCCATCACAAAGATCTAATTGAGCAAAAACAAACAACAAAACAATCTGTGGGTGTCTTCCCTGGAAGAGTTCTCCTAGGCTCCTGGAGACTTCGAACCCACAAGGAAGCTTCTGAATGAGCTGGTGGGTCAGTCGGTCTCAACACATAAGTGAAGACAGCTGGAGACACAGGATGGACATAACGAACCTGCTTTCTCCTGAAGCAATGCGTACACATTTTCCCTCCAGTCTCAAGTTCCTAGAGTGAAGGAGGATTAGAAAACTTGGGGGGCCGGGGGGGGGGGAATGACACAGGACTGCCTGAAATAATAACCTTGAGAACTGTGATTTTTAATTCAATCCTTTGGCCTGGCATTGTATAAATACGATAAATAAATAATAGTAACAGTTGTTCATTTCTCATAAGTGACACTAGAAGGTCCAGATAAAATCTCCTACTGTGTGAATGGAGTGTTTCTCACTAGAATTTCATTGCAAACTCACACATTTGAGTTGATGCTCAGACCTAGTGAACAAAACCACATTTATATGAAACCAAGGATTTGTTTTCATTTAATCCAGGAATGAGGTTTTTACCACACTGAGATTGGAATGCAGTGAGAAATCTTCAATAGAAAGATAATCTATTGCAGCATAGTGGGGCAGCTAAAAAACTTGCTTGCCCGGAATGTTAACTGACAGCAATATTATCTAGGTGGCAGTCGATTCTCTGGCGGGTTTCAGATGTGTCATAGGCCAGTGGTCTAGCCTCGTATCTTGATATAATTAGAGCAGCTAAGCTGATACGTTAAAAACTGTGTGCTGAGCCTATATCAGAATTCTGTTTTTTAAAAAACGTGGCTTTTTCTTCCCATGATGAACACTGGAGATGCCTTTAGATATACTTAGCAGGTTTAGACACTATGTATTAGATATTCATCCTGCAAATGAAAAGTCTAAGTTATTTTACAAGTGAACACAGCGTGAAGCGAGCATCATGATTAAGGTGCTTTGGAAGCATAGCTTAGTCTTTTTAAAAGTTTATGCTTATTTCCATATCATAACCTGTATTCTATGATAAATATCTGAATGAAACTGAATCAACCAGACGAGCCTCAGGCTGGCCCTGATTAGATTCAAGTCAGCTGACAGGTGATTTCTTCTTCACTATTTTGCTCACTTTCTTCTGTAAGGCAAGGGAAAGGCTCATCATTGTACACTACTGTGCATTTATGAAGCTCCAACAATGACATCCACTTGCTCTAGTGGCTCTATACTTTTAGCTCGAGTCAACTTCTGCCCTAACAACAACATACCCTTCTGATCACGTCTCATCTGTCAGCCGACAGGACGCTACCACACACAATGTTAACATGGCTGCAACAGCTGCCCCCAGCCCGGCTTGGCGCCAGGTCCTTCAGTCATGGCTTTACCTGCATGGATTCTTTGTTCACTGTGTAACCCATTCACACAGAATGGAATCAAATTTTATTCTTTTCTAATTCCACACATCGACAAGCTGCTGAACACCCCCATGCCATCTCACAGAAAGGCTGCGCAGCTGTTTCACGAATGACAGACAGCATGATTAAAGCTAAAATAATATAAAAATAATTTGGAAAAAAAATCCCTTTTACTGTACACTCTCAAGTAAAGGAAGATAAGTGATAGTTTCTGCTAGCCAAAAATTGTGTTACTATTCGTGTGGGCTTTGCAGCCCCGTGTACCTCACACTTCAGTGTGGACGTGGTTATGAGTGGATAATCTACGCATTGTAGTAGCCTCTAACGGATTCATCTAGTTTGCCTAATCATTAAGCTACTTAACCAATTAGAATACTAGTATATCACATTGAACAACTTTACATAATTGCATCTTTGAAATATTAGGAACACATTTATTTGGCTTGTAGAGGACTGAAATATTACAGATAACATTGTCTAGCTTTCTCTTTTTCTTTCTTTCTTTTTTTAAAGAATATGGCTCTTAATACACTGACTTTCTGAGTTCCCAAGTGAAAGTCACTTTAAAAATTTATGAAGCTTACTTGAAGCAGAGAGGTTCTGTTCTAATTTGGTCAAATTTGACAGCACTTAAAACTTAGGGATTAATCTACGCAGGCCCTTTGTGGTCAACTATTTTCAACCTATTGTGAAGTGTGTTTGTTGAAGTTTCTCACTCGGCCAGCAGAGGGCACTTCATATGCCTCTGCATTGCTCAGCGAGCAAACGCAGAAGGTGCAGAAACACAGTGTTTACCCCAAATCAGGCAGAGCCCCGCAGATCTGTTTTTTGAAAGTCACAAAAATATAGAAAACATGGACTGGGGCCTATTTGGAAAGCCAGGAGTCTGTGTGAAGTTAAACAGGAGGAGAGGCCAACGTGCTGTCTGTCTCCTGGATGAATCTCTGGTCTCTTCCCATGGTCCTTCCCCTTTTCCAGCTCAGTGGCAATTGGCTGAGTTTTGTTACAGATAGTACAAGATTCCATCTTCAAGTCAACTGGTTGAGCGTCTGTCTTTTCAACTCTGCAATTTTTCTTCCATCCTAAAGTCTGGGGCAGCTGAACAAAGGATGCTTCCTATCTCACCGAAGAGCAGAAATTAAGTTGTCCGTGGGACCACCTTCTTGGGATTTGGGCTGCCTGGTTTCTATTCTCCCAGAAATTAAGCATCACGAGGAAGCATTGTCCTCTGTTTGGTTGTAGCAAACTCAGTAGCCTGAGGCTGTGCGGTGATGGGGGAGGGGGTATCTATCTTTTTAATTCCAGCTGCGGTAAAAATAATTAAGACATCTTTTGTCCAGGGGCTACAAGCTAGCCTTCCTTTAAAAGGCCTTGATTTTTGCAAAAGCATTGCTGTTCTAGATATAAACCCTGTGTCTCTTCCATGTTTATCTTTTCTACCAGCTCTGGTTTCATGTTGAAAAGATAGAAAGGATTGTGTGTGTGTGTGTGTGTGTGTGTGTGTGTGTGTGTGCGCGCGCGCGTGCACACGCATAGTTTGAAAAGGGGAACTCCTTTACCCTTAGAGAAAAATAATTCTGAACTGATTTTTTCCCCTCTTCCTGTAGTGTTTTGCTTGTTTTCCACTAATCTCTCTGCCCGTGGCTCCCTTTGGATCAAGTGTGTTCTAGAGTTGACAGATAAGAGGGAAGGGGTCCCTCAGCAGCAGTACTTTGAGATGGAGATGTGCTCAGTGAGTCCTCACCCAAAAAGGATCATAAACTTACTGGGTTAAGTCAAACTAATCATTGCTCCCAAGCTGCCTCGGGTTGTGTCTGCTCCTACGTATGTTTTGTTTTGTTTTAGCTGCACCATATGATTCCTTGTGCCATTTTCTTTTGTCTGTTATTTTTCGTGATGACCCTGAGCTATGTCTTCCTCCTCAGTTCTGACCCTATTCAGCCTTCGTGGTTTTCTTCATTTTGCCGATGTAGGCCTCGAAGAAGAAATGGCAGAAGAGCACAAGGTAGCTGAGGTACATGAGTGAGGACCAGAAGATGTTCTGAAAGTGGGAGTAACACTGGTCGTTGTCATGCTGCATCCAGTTGAAGACCAGGTAGTTAATGACACAGCCCATCAGCATCTGAGTGATCTGGGACAAGGTGATGAACATGGCAAACTTCCGGGAGACTCGGAAACCCGCAGCCCGCAAGGCATAGTAAGAGTACATGACGGCATGCACGCCATAGTTCATAGTCATGAACCAACCACCCCCAGCCACCATGTCTTTGTAGGAGTACCAAGAGTACAGCAGCACAGTGATGTGGTGGTACCAGTGTAGGAAGATGAGCTTCTGTTTCCGCAGGATGATGAATATCGTATCTCCTGGAAGACAGAGAGAGCAAACAAAAGTGTGTGAGGCCCACAGCTGGCTCTGGAAGAAGTCGGGTAGAAATCTTCAACCAGCAAGACAGGCTACTCTTCCAGACACTCAAGAGAAAATCTTACTGATTAATGATCTGAAATGGACATTATCAACCAGACTCAACCACACACAAGTGGAAACATGACCAGGAGAAGACAGGTGACTGGTCTCAGAGCAAGTATGACCAGGAGGCAGACTGAAACGCCAACTCAAGTGCCCAACAGAATGCTCTTAGGCATCTCGATAGTAAAACCATAATTACCCTTAGGTAGTTAAAAAAATATAGCTCACAAACATGTGTCTCGTGAGCTCTCTGTAAAACACGGAGTCCTTGTAAAGACATGATTCAGGACAGACGATGTAGCTCTGTGGTGGCACAGGGCTGGCCTAACATTGGCAAGGCCCTGGGTCTGATCTTCAGTCCCTCCAAGAAATGAAACCAAACCAAAACAGAAACCAGAAGAAGAAAACCCAAATTAAACAGAGACAAAGGCAGAGTAAGGTAGAAACAAAAGACACCATGAGAATATTGGCAACCATTTATTTATAGCAATCAATGAATCAAGTGGGTAAAACCTGAAAACAAGACTTAATTTTATGACACAAGTATTAATTAAAAAAACTCTCCAGAATGTCAACTTTTTCGAATGTCAACTTTTTCCGTAACTCTCTCCGATATAAAGAAAAAGAAAAACCCATTGGTGTGAAGTAGGAAATTTATATAAAAGCTAGAGCTATGCTCAAGTAGGTAGCTGTTCTCTCTATCTGCCATGATTTTGAGAAATATATTCTATAGGACCTTTATGGGGGGAAATAAAGAGAGTCGTAACATTCACACAGTTAAAGCTGCTTCCACCGCCCAGCGCTGTAGTGATCGGACATGGTGAAACCATCTTCAGGACGGGGCCATGGCTCGGCTGGTAAACTGTTTGCTGTACAAGCCTGAGGAGTGAGTCTGCAGCCCTAGCACCTCCGTAAAAAGCTGGGCTTGCTGACGGGCCTGTTAATCTCAGCTGTGGAAGAGAAAGGTTGGAGCTCACTGGCGGCAGGCCTAAGAAATCGGTAAGCTCCACGTTCAGCAGCAGACCCTGCCTCACAGCATAAAGTGGAGAGTGGTTGAGAAAGACACCTGAAGGTGTCCACAGGCACACACACTCATACATCAACGTGAATGTGCACATGTACAACACACTTAAAACCTCTTTCAAAGTAGGACTACTTTTTTAATACCAGTAAGGCCTAGAAATTTGTTCTATTCTGAGACTTGATTACAGACAAATGGAACAAGTCCACACCCGAGTCTTACCCCTCACGTTCTTGGTGGATGGCCTAGAGTTCCCGGTACAGATAAGGTCAAGGAATGCTGGGTCTTGGAAAAACTCAAGGTTCTGATGGCTGAAGCTGCACTACATTACTACAGGTAGTGTCCCGTTACATTTACCAGGAGCTATTACTTTATTTCCCTGCTGAATTATTAAACCTAATTACTTCATATTTGTTTAGAACAGAAAGCAAGTTGCCAGTGGCTACATTCCCAAACCTATTATGAAATTTCCATTGAAATCCTGCGCTGTCTTGTGTGACACTGGCTTCTATTATGCCTATAAATGTCGGGCGGGCTGAAATGACAGATGGCGATGGTCACTCTGATGTGTACACTTCAAGGGTCAAATTCGACTTCTTATTAAACAATACTATTTTGGCATGCCTGACAGAGTCACCACTACTGTGTAATAATTACTGCTCCGTTTCTTCTTCCCCTCTTTGGACTATAACGTAGACACAATAATTCCAGTCTACCTTGGTTAGTAGTGGAAAGAAGGGGAAAGTCTAAGGAATTTCATGTTTCAAAAAAATTTAGTCAGTCTCCTAATCGAGATATATGAGTCTCTTAACATTCACACACACAAAAAAAATCAATCTGATACAATACCCAGTCATAATGAAAGCAATTTGCTCTAAAGAAATAAGCACTTCATCCTATCATCACTCTTACATGAAGACTTGTGGTACTGAGGCGCTCTGTGCTTTCCCCTCTGAATGGGTGGTGGTGGTGTGCTCGAGCGTCTCAGTAGGCCTAGCTACTTTCAGGGGAAGGTGAGTGAGGGAGACGAATCTGTCACGGACTCTTGCAAACAAAATCCCCCTGAATTTACATTGAGTCTTTTTCGGAACTCATGTTCAGGGTGGTAGAAGGGGGAGATGGTTCTGAGCAGCCCTACTCAAAGCCATACCAAAGTTATTGTCCCCAGAAGTGGTGGTTTCCTGTAAAATACTATGGTTGGGTTCCAGAAGGGTCAACCTCGATCTTCATGGCCTTTGTTACCGCCATGCTTTCTGATGCAAACACAGTTCTTCTGTCCATCACCACCGTTTCCCATTTTCCCAAGTCATGCCAAATCACAGAATTTGTAGGTGTAGCAGAAGCTATAGAGGAACTAAGAAATGTATGCTACCCCAAGGACTATGATAGGCTCGATGTTGGCCAGCCGGTCTTCTCGAGCAAATATCCCTCGGCATTTATGGAAGGGGTGCTAGCCATGTATAAGTGGGAGAACCTGCTTTTGAACATGTCTGCTTTTTCATTATTTTTGTTAGCCTCTGACTCATGTTTCTCTTTACGGTGACCCCTATAACCCTTGGCCCAGCTATTTTCAACCAGGATATAGCTAGCAGACAAGACATGGTGTTTCTTGTACCCAAGATCTCTGTGTGCCTACGGAGAAGTCAATTAGTCCTTCTCTTTCCAGGGCAATCAGAGCCACCAAAAGACAAGTTGAGCCAACTGTGTGTGTGTGTGTGGCTTGTCACAGATGGCTGAGCTCCTCTTAGCAGAGTTAGCTGGAGTGCTGCTGAATCAGAGCTTCCAAACAATGGCAAGCTCAACTGAGTAAGGGCCTAGACGCAGAGCAGATGTTTCCAAGTCTTAACAAAAGCAAATCTCAGCAGGTTTTAATAGAATTCCAACCGTAGGCACTGGCAATCTGGCACACAAAATAGAGGGACGGCTCTCCTGCTCTCGCTTGTTCTAGTAGAGTGGAGTCCTTTAAATCCATGGAGTTCACTATTACCGCTGAAACAGAGAGCCCTTATTGCTATCATTAAGGGTTTAGGGAAGCAGAGTCAGTGGTGTGAGTACAGTTTCAGCTGGGGGAAATAGAAAGTTCCAGAAATGATGGTATCATGGCTACACCACAATGTAAATATTATGCCTATTTAACCCCCAGGGGAAACGAAAAGAGTGGTGAAATTTATAGGTGTATGCTTTTAGGGGAATTGCAAATAGTTTCAGTGTTGTACTGTATGGTGTGTGTGTGTGTGTGTGTGTGTGTGTGTGTGTGTGTGTGTGTGTGTGTGTGTGTGTCTGTGTGTATGTGTGTGTGTGTGTGTGTGTGTGTGTGTGTGTGTGAGTGCATACACACACATTCCCTCATGATCTTTCTCTTTGGTATTCATAAAGGATCCCATAAATCTTAGAATATAGAAAGTAGGATCTAAAGATAACCTCTACATAATTCTAATGGATAAATCTTTCTTAATCAAATGATAATGACGAGACTTGGTAATTGCAAAAGACTAGGAGTTAATATAACCTTCAAAACGCACAGGCAAAGACACTGTAAATAAGTGCTGAGGCTGGTTTGGGGGACACCTGTTTGGATTTTTAGACCTGTGACATTCAGCAGCTGCCCCGCGACAAGGACACTGTTACACAAGCTGTAGAGTGTTTGGAGGCCATTGTTCCATATTTCCAAATTAAGAACGTGTTGTCAGATCTTAAAATACTTCTATGAAGGACTGGGGACTGTATGAAGAATGTGTCATCATTAGAGAGCTGGCAGTATTCATTAGGAAAGACTTTCTATACGTTGGTCAATGTGAGCGTATTCAACAATCCTTAGAACTAATACAAAAATCTGGATGTTTAGTGCGAGCACCTGAAGAAGGAGGTGGAAACAAGCTTGGGGGCAACTAGCATGGTGTACACACTAGAAAAACAGCAGCTAAGAGACCCTCTTTCCAATGGGAAGGGCTCAACACCCAAGGCGGTCCTCCAACCTCCAAATGCACGTCATGGCATGTATATACCTGCATTCACACACCCAAATGTGTACACATACACATCCACACTCACACAAAATTTCCTGGGGCCCTGGTCTGTAGTCTTCATATTGTAAAATTCTATGTCAAATAGCTTTGCATTCTAATAATGGGTGCTGATATAAATTCACTGACTGACTGAATCTATATTAATGCAGTTTATTCTCAGTTTGTGTTCATGGGGCTACGTGTATATGTATATGTGCCTGTCATGTGTACACACGCCACTCATTCTGGATTGTGTAGAGACCTGTATTCCCATTCTGATCCTCATAGGAAAGGCTTTTAGACTTTTGTTACTCTTTCTTAATCTTTGATCTTGGAAGACAACCACCAATCCAACCGCCAGCTACTTGCAGGCAGCAGACTTAAGAACACGTTGTGGCAAACGGCTCAGCTGCTCCCCAACACACTGGAGAGAACTCATGGTCACGTGTGAGCGTGAACTGTGAGAACTTTACAAAGCACAGCCAGCACAGACTGTAGAAGTCTTGTGATGAACCGACAACCTGCCATCGCCCCCCGCCCCCACTTTTTTTTTAAAGACAGGGCTTCTCTGTGTAGCCCTGGCTGTCCTGGAACTCACTCTGTAGACCAGGTTGGCCTCGAACTCACAGAGATCTACCTCCTGAGTGCTGGGATGAAAGGCGTGTGACACCACCGCCAGGCTCTGTCACCTCTTTTTAAGGGAGATAAAACAAAAAAGTGGTGCCCTACATCCACTTTCCCCAGGGTCAGACTCATGGATGAAGAAAACCAAACAGCAGGATTCCACAGTTAGCATTTGTTAATGAGAACAAGAACCCCAGAAGTGAAGCTTAATTTCCCAACCTGAACCCTAACTCTAGGGATGAGCGTCTGCTTATCTCCATTGACTTGGAAATTGCTGGGTTGTTCATTTTTCTCCTGTTTTAATATTAGCTCAGCTGTTAATGGGCCTTAGAGAGGAGATCGTGTGCGTGTGTTATTTTATAAATCCCTGAGACTGGCTTATTTTTAGTAGGGCTAGGAAATTGGCATTTGAAAACTCGTTTTCTGTCAATAGACAGAATGTACAGTTACTTAAAAAGGAGGGAGCAGAGGGGTGGGAAAGGTAGTCCAAATCTTCCAGCTCATGCATTCTAGCTTTTTAGCACCAGTGAAGACAGGCCCGACATGGAGTGTTGCTTTGTTCACTCTTACTAAGTCCTGTGTATGTGAAGCTGCATACACAATGGGGGGAGGCAGGGAAGGGGAAAGACACTCACCTAGTTCGGGTGCTTTGCTGAGCACAAATGCGTAAGCCCAGAATTTGCTGACAGGTCCATTGTAAAAACTCTGGTCACAGACTGACTGCTTCAGGCCTTTGGTCATCAAAATGTACACCATGTAAGCACCAGTTCGAAGAGCACCGAATATACTTCCGTTAGGAAAAGAAAAGAGAGACAACAGTTAGGGGGCAATTTCACTTAGGACATTAACCTTTGTTACGGTTGAGTGTGAAATATCCACCGCAGGCTCATTTGTTAGAATACCTGGTCCCCAGGGGGTGGCCTGTTCTGGAAGGCTCTGGAACCTTTATGAGGTTAAAGCCTTTTCACAGAGGAAGTACATCACGGAGGGGGGCGGGGGGAGCTTGAAGCTGTTTAGCCTGGCCACACTTCCTGTTGTCAATCTGCCACTTGACCGTGATGGAGTATTACCAGCTACCTAATGTTCCTCCTGCCACACTCCCTTCCTCCAATGATGAACCGCATCCCTCCTTAAAGTGTAAGTCAAAATAGATCCACCCTCCCTTGTTCCTTCTTCCTTCTCACAGCAAGAAGAAAAGTAACTAAGAAGACAGGTTGGCCACTGGTCAAAGCCGGCAGAGAAGACGCCTAGTACACAGTTACCCAGGCGTATTTTCAAGTGCCCCGTAAAGGAGCTAACACAACTCTTGATACTCTGTTTTAAAGACCATTTGCTCCTCATCAGTGTTCCAGAATGAGGTCATGGAAAAGAAGACTCAGTAGACACCAGCATCTTATGAGGAATGGTTTGGTTTCTGCTTGGGAACTATTTCATGAAGAGGAAACCAGAAGAGCTGTACGTCCTTGGCATTACCTCAGTTCTAGCTGTAGTCAGTCATTTTCCAAGTTCCATTGGCTCTCATCCCTGAAAGTCTCTTAGTGTCTCTAAGCTAACTCGCCCTTCACATCTTAACTAGATGCCTTGGCTCCTACAGCAGGATCCCAGCTCCTGGTCCTGACCTCCTCCTCCTGCTCTGTGATCATGTTTCTCATCACACCAGGAGTGCCTTCTAGGCTTAACTCTATTACCAACCCTTCTAGGAATTCCATCCACCCTAGAAGAGTTAATGCCCACCCAACTGCACACACTAACTACCAACACTGTTCGAGGTGCTTGCCTCGACGTGCTCATAGATGCTACACAAAGATGTCGGAAGGAGAAAGGTTCTTGATAATATAAACACAAAACAAACACTTTCAACTTGGACTTAATAAGGAAACAGGAGCATTTTGGAACATGCTTATTTAATGATGTAACTGGAAACATGAAAGGACTTGGCAAGAACAAGGAGTGAGTGAACCTCTCATGTGTGTGTCCATCTAAGTTGAGACTGTATGTAAGCAGCGTCTCTGAGTGTGGTATCCCTCATTTCAATACATATTGTCACTTTTTGGTACTCATCCAGTTTCCTCCTTCAGTGGCTCTCTGCACCTACAACCCCTCCCTGTTCCTCACCAGGAATCACGTGGCTCTGCGGGGCTTCTTTATTGCTCATCCTCACTTACTGATGTTCTTGACAGCTCTGCTGGGTACTGCCTGCTCTCTCCTCAGGACCCTCTGTGTACTCCTCTCTCTGGGAGCTAGCTTGTCTGTGTTCCTCCCAAGGCTGGATCCTTGTTCCTTTCAAATCTCAATGAGGCATCATCTCCTGAGAGGGATGCCTCCAGGTTTACAGTCAATATTAATAGCCCCATTTAGAGGCAGTGATTTTAATTTCATCGGTCAAGTTGGATAATGGAGATTTTCATTCTTAACTGGATTCCCTTTACCCTTCCTTAGTTCACTAGAGGATAGCTGAACTTTAAAATGAAAGGTTCCAACTTCTCCAAATTAAGGTTTTACACCTTAGACACTCCGCTGCTTTGGAAGTTAACAGCAGCTTGGATGTGTCATCCAATGGTGGACTGTCTGATGAAAAGTCAAGGCCTTCCCTCCTCCACATTGAGTCCTTTCTTCAGGTTGTTCCAATAGCTTACTCTAAGAAAATCAAACACCTTATCTGTAGTTCAAGAGCAACCTTGGGTGTTTAACCCAGTTTTTAGCACCCCCGTTTCTCTTAGCAGAGATTGGCTAGAGTCACATATGGCCAATTCTAGCCAATGCGATGTAAGAGGCCTGCTTCAGGTTGAGAAAAGTTTCTTTGCTAATACGGAATTACTTGAAAATGCGGCAGACATTGTGCAGCCATGAGGCCAAAACCAACCCAGGATAGCAAAACAGTGACTCCAGATGTGGCTGAGCTGGTGAACGAAATCATGTTTCAATTACCCTGGAATAGACTTCTTGCATTTGAGAAATAAATCTGTATTGTCTAAGTCATTTGGAAATTTTCTTCCTATTACTTGCAGCCCAAAGCCCTAAGTAGATACAACACATGGATATGATTTGCAATTGCTTGGGCTTTTTGTTTTGTTTTGTTGTTGTTTTTTAAACATTCTGTACAGAAATCACTTTTGGGGCTCAAAAGTACAAGTGGTTGTCAGTACTGCTGGTACAGAACATATTCTGTCAGTTACCTCTCATCATAACCAGTAGGGGGAACTACCAATGACTTTTCTTACATCTAAAGCAAGCAAACATGTGACACCCTTCAAAACACATTGGCTAGATCTAGAACTTTTCTGTAAAAGAATATTTTATAAAGCATAGTCTTCCCATCATATCCAGCCCGTCACCCATGTGGCCCCGAGATGTTTCTCTACTGTATCTGTCGCCAGACTGACTGCAAGTTGTCAGAGCAGACCCCAAACAATCTTTCTAATCTTGGAAATACCTGTAGTTTATTCCTAATTTCTAACTGTTAATAATTAACCTTACTTCCTCAGTTGTTAAATACTTAACACAATGGTTTGGGGAGACTTCATGGATACGGTAGACATTTGACCAACTCTAGCCATGTGGTGAGGGCTGCTTGGGGTTGGGAATGCTCACGTTGCTCCTAGTCTGTATTGTCTGAAAATGCAGCAGACACTTTGCTGGCGTTAGAGCTGGGGGTAAATAGCTGTTCACGGAGTTGAGTGTTAGAGCCTGGGAAAGTCACTGCAGAGAACTTCTGACATCATGATGACCCACAATACACCTATTATTGTCTCATAGCTGGGCATAAGCCTCATTCCTTCAGCTCTGAACAATAAGGCTGATCAAAACTGAGGACAGTGGCACTTTTGAGGGACCATGTCAGTGCCAGCCATTGGGCCTGTATGTTCATGGGCAAAGGCGCATTGTTGGGCTATGACCACGCTCCTGCTGGGGAGCACCGTGAAGCTGATCAGTCAGTGAGGTGACACTCATCTGTGGGAAGTCACTAGCTCTGCCTCTGCCATATCTCAGCCATGTGTGTTTTGGATCAGTTGGCTCTTATAACAGCATCATGCTAGGACACATGGCTAAAATATACTTTAAGGTGAGACCTCTTTTCGTCTATAAGTTGCGTTACTTGTAGAGACAGTGTGATCAAGCTGAGAAAAAGTGCAGCTTTGGTTCTGTGACCCTCTTCTCTGGGACACATCACTAGTCCTTTTTATAAAGAAACACTCTACCCACAGCCACAGCTGGAGTTCACGTCTTCTGAACCTACAGAGGAGCAGTTGACAGCCAGGGACACACACACATAGCTAGAGGCACACTCGATACCTAGTTGGCGCAGGCTCCCTGCTCTCCTACCCAGATTGCAAACCCGGTGTGCGCCAGCTTTCTGCCATCTACATCAGTGAGCAAGTCCGTAATTCCAAAGAGCAACTCGGAAGAGAGGCTGTTGGGAAGGCAGCTAACTGCAGTGCACGCAATCCTAAGTCAGCTGACAAAGACTATCACAAGGGCAGGGGAGCGGAGTCTGGGCAGTCACGCTTAATGTGGGACCACCACAGTAATTCCTTTCTGTTCGAGGGTCCCACTCATGTACTTATTAGTTCTGAAGGCCTATGCTTAGCTTTCTTTTCAAAAGTGACGGGAAAGCAGAGTCTCGGGGAGGAAAGAGTGAATGTCTCTGCTCTCCCCTTACCAAAATGCAGCAAGGAGGTCAGTGAAGAAGAGCCCTGCTTGGCTGAGGGGTTACCTCCGGGCCACCTTGTAAGGAAGGGTGTCTTAAATTTTCCACGGCAGACGCCAGGAACAGGTAGTAGACACTAAATTGAGAAGGGAACAGTCCACGGGTTATTGAGGGAACCATGTTCTCTGTACTCCAGGTATATACATTCAGTACTGCTTATTTTTCAATAAGCATATATTAGACTGATATTTTTAACAACTCTACTTAGATGGGTAGCTGGTGACCACCGACACCCTGACTAAACAGCACAGAGGTGCTAGCAACAAGGCTTAAGACTGACTGTTCAGTGTGAAGATGAGGTGGAACAGTAATCACCCTGTGTTTAATAACAAACTGGTGGGGGCGGGGGGGGGGGGGGACTGCAGTTGGGATGTAAAAATAAAAACAAAAATAAATACAAATAAACCAGCACTAGGATCACCGGAGAAAAGCCTGATTCATTTACTGAACCAACAAACATTTAACTAACACCAGTGTCAGATACTGCAGTACTCAGGGGGAGGACAGAGAACCTCTGTCACATACTGTGGGTCACAGAGATACATAATACACACACACACACACACACACACACACACACACCCTAACATAAAAGGGGTAGTATATGGCCAGGACTCCTCTGTGGACAGTACAACACTTAAAATAAAAATTTAGAAAAACTTTGCCTTTAGGTTGTGTTAGCTGTAAGTATTAGGATCCTTTAAAAGGAAGTATAACATGTGTAGCATTTTGTGTAAATAGATATACTTAGTTTCCTTTTTAATATGTTTAAAATAAGGAGGTCGATCTAGCTCGTGTTTCTGAACAAAACCTCTACCAGGGATCCGTGCGGTAGGCTAAACAGTAAGTGGTGTTATCTGATCCTTGTTTCGGAGTTTACCAGCTGCCTTTTATCCCACAGTTGTGACCTGCTGTGTACATCGCTTCAAGAAATACACTTTTGGAAATGGTTCAGAATTAAACTTTTCATTAAAAGAAGTATAAGAGATACTGCTAATGGTCTTTACCTCATGCTGTGACCCAAGTTCTGCTCCTCTCTCTACTTGAGACTGACTTAGGTGCCTCTAAATTCTCTTATC